ACCTTAGATGGGACTTTCAGCTGAGACTACCAGTGTGCATCACCACTCCCAGCTAATTTTTTTTTTTTTGGGGGGGGACAGTCTCATTTTGTCTCACTCGGTAGAGTACTGTGGCATCATAGCTCACATCATTAACTAAAGGCTTAGTCGTCCCATGTTCGCGGGTGACCCTCCTGTAGGCATCATTTGTTTCAGAAGGCCAAATGGAAGTTTAAATACCCACATTAGAAATGACATCCATCAGAAGGAGGTTATTATTATTTTAAATGATCATGTTAAATGGTAGATGTTTAGAGGTATTTAGCTATTTCAAACTAATAGAGGTGATTATTTTATGATATATCTGGTTAATAAATTCTTATTGTAGTATATCTCATTGTACTTCTGTTGAGACCCTATGATTTTGGAGTTGACCTCATGGTCTTGGGAGGCAGACCCTGGAGAAGGGTTGGGGTGTTTCTTCAGCAGGGGCAGGAGGGAAGGGCCCACTGTGCTTTCAGGGAAGATGGGTGGTATTATTCTACAAAGACACACACTGAGAGAGAGAAAGAGGCAGGGAAAGAGAAGGAAGATGAAAGAGAGAATGGAGGAGAGAGAATAAAGGAAAAGGACAGAATAGAAAGAGACAGGGAGAGGCAGCAGGGAGAAAGAACAAGGGAAGGAGAGAGAGGGAGGGAGGGAGAGACAGAGACGTGGGAAGGAGGGATAGAAGGGCAGGTGCTGCTCCTGTCTGTACTGACTTGACTGTCTGTCCTTGCAGAGTTCCTGCCTTCTCCATGCCAGACTACATGGTTTATGAAGAATTTAACCCCGATCAGGCCAACGGCAGCTATGAGTCCAGGAGGGGGCCCTTCGACTTCGACATGAAAACGGTTTGGCAAAGAGAGGCTGAGGAACTTGAAAAGGAGAAAAAAAAGGTGACAGGAGCCCATATAAATAGAGGGCAGCCACATCTGCTGTGCTTCTGTGGCCCGGAATAATTGAGTGATGTGATGTTAGCTGCTGGTGCTGTCGTGCGTTTCCCATGACACTGGCCACGTGTTCTGTATTTTAAGTTTGGAGCTGCTGCCAGGCAAGCAGCCACCATACTATTATCTTTCTTTCTCTTTTCATGAATATTGGCTTTAAGAAGTAAGGTTATATTTTACTAACTGATTTTTAACTGACCAATGGTTATCTGAGAGAAAATTGGCATAGCACTTCTTATCTGGCACGTGTATCATACAAAGGAGATTTTATCTTTAATCATTATCGTTTCTGAATATTTCCATTTACTTAAGCATCTAGCTTAAAATTTTCCTGGAATACTCTATTTATTTAAGAGACAGGGTCTCAAGGCCAGGTACTGGGGCACACACCTATAATCCTAGCACACTGAGAGGCCGAGGCAGGTGAATTCCTTGAGTCCAGAAGTTCAAGACCAACCCGAACAAGAGCAAGACCCTGTCTCTTCTAAAAGTAGAAAAACTAGCTGGGCATTGTGGTGGGTGCCTGTAGTCCCAGTTACTCAGAAGGCTGAGGCAGGAGGATCACTTGAGCTCAAGAGCTTAAGGTTGTTGTGAATTTTAATGATGCCATAGCACTCTATCCAGGTGACAGAGACTCTGCCTCAAAAAAAAAAAAAAAAGAAAAGAAATAAGGTCTCACTGTCACCCATGCTAGTGTGCAGTGGCATCATCATAGCTCACTGCAGCCATGAATTTCTGGGCTCAAGTGATCCTCCTTGAGGCTCCCAAGTAGCTGAGACCACCATGTGCACTACCACTCCCAGCTAATTTTTTTTTTTTTGAGACAGTCTCATTTTGTCTCACTCGGTAGAGTGCTGTGGCATCATAGCTCACAGCAACCTCAAACTCTTGGGCTCAAGTGATTCTCTTGTTTCAGCCTCCTGAGTAGCTGGGAGTATAGGTACCTGCCACAATGCCTGTCTGTTTTTAGAGATGAGGTCTTGCTCTTGCTCAGGCTGGTCTCAAACTCCTGAGCTCAGGTCATCCACCCACCTTGGCCTCCCAAGTGCTAAGATTACAGGCGTAAGCCACCGTACCCAGCCACCCAGCTAATTTTCTTAAGTATTTTTTATAGAGATGGGTTCTTGCTATGTTGTCCAGACTGGTCTTGAGCTGTTGGGTTCATGCGCTCCTCTTGCTTGGGCCACCACAGTGCTGGCATTACAGGTATGGACCACTGTGCCCGGCCTCTTTATTGATAACAAGGAAAAGAAAATGAATTCTCTTTTTCTGAAAAAACTCCCAGTAGTGTATTTGACCACGAAGGAGTAACATGAAGCTTTCTTTCTTTCTTTTTATTTTTTTTTTTTTTTGAGACAGAGCCTCAAGCTGAGCCCCTGGGTAGGGTGCCATGGCTTCACTGCTCACAGCAACCTCCAACTCCTGGGCTCAAGCGAGTCTCCTGCCTCAGCATCCCAAGTAGCTGGGACCACAGGCGCCCGCCACAATGCCCGGCTATTTTTTGGTTGCAGCCATTATTATTGTTATTTGGCGGGTCCAGGCTGGATTCGAACCTGCCACCTTAGGTGTGTGTGGCTGTCGCTTTAGCCGCTTGAGCCACAGGCGCCGAGCCACATGAAGCTTTCTTAGGGGATTTTTGTTTTTAAAAAGAGCAGGTAAGAAACCCTAGAGCTGTCTCTATTATTGGTGACAAGTTGTTGTGCTGTATTGGTTAGAAGCCTGTCCCATCCTCTGTACTTGGTGCTGGAGGGGACAACAATTAGGCCATAGTCCTGCAGAGGCCTCGCCCTCACCCTGTGGGCACCAGCACTGTGTCTGAAATTAGTCTCAGTTCTTGAGACACTGAGGTAATGAGTGAAATGATGAACTTCATATTAAAAAGAGCAGGAATATAATCCTAGTGCTCTGGTTGTCCAAGGCAGGTGGATTGCTTAAGTTCACGAGTTTGAGACCAGCCTGAGCAAGACTAAGTCCCTATGTCTGAAAAACAGTGAGACGTTGTGGTGGGCACCTGTAGTCCCAGCTACTCGGGAGGCTGAGGCTAAATAAATAAATAAATAAAGCAGTACTGTTTGATACTGAGAACAAGAGTAAACACAAGAGTGATCCCTGTCACTTGACAGGTGATCATTTTGACTGGGGACAAGATTAGATGTGTTTTAGTGTGAGCAGAAGTTGGCCTCATGAAGCATCTACGCCTGACTCCCAGAGAAAAGCCTCAGTTTATTTTGGGGACTTGAGGAGTCGCGTGCCGAGTGGAAGCTCAGCTGGTGGCAGTGAGCCACTTATTTCTTCTTCATGACATCCTCAGTGTCCAGCTGTGCTTCTGGCGTTGGGTGGTGGCATGATCAGTGAAACGGGCTGTTCTGAGGACCTGGTCTATTTCTCTGCACTGTGTGGCTTTGGCCTCGGGACCAGGCCTTTCACAGTCCCTGTGGTTCACTGTTTATTGTTCCTCCTGCGTGGATGACATCCTTACTTGAAGATAGCAACTGCTTTTGGATTTCTGGCACAACCATTTTTTTGAATGGGATTATTGTTGAATTGTATTTTATTGTGACTGTACCAGTAAAATAATCATTACACCACACCAGAAGTCCATTTCCTACATGTTTTCTACCTTTGCTACTCTTGGTGAATTTTCCTTTCCTCTAGTGTCTGGGCTGTTGAATGCTTTTCGGTAGCTTGGGGTTTTGTGTCTCCTCACACAGGTGAAGCTACCAGCCATTAACTCAAAGTATACGGGCAAAGTGGGGACGCCAGTTGGCCCTAAAGACCCTTCTGGAAGTAGATTCTCCTTCCCTCCGATGTAAGTGCTTGAGCTGCTCGGTTTCCGTGTGGATTAGGGTGGGGTTGTCTCCTACCTCCCGTCTGTGATGATGATGGTGATGATGACACAATGCACACTCTGGCCCACTGCGCCTGGCCTGGCCTCCTCCACGAGCCTCCTCACTGCAGTTTTCAGTTCTGATGCTTTTTATGTCACCAAGGCTTGAACCCAGGTGTCTGTGCCTTGTAAGTGCTCCAGCTGTGTATCCAGCTGGAAGATATATTAGATATTTGTTAATCTTCCAGCTGCAATGTGAAATCCCTGAGGCTTTGGGTGTCTCCTTACTTTCCTGGAATCCTAGGTGAGTGCTGGGATAAATGTCATTAATTGCCTGACTAAAGTTCCAAACTTCTCATCCCAGAGGGAAAGAACAATCAGTTACATTGCATTGTGATCGATGCCACGTGAACACCAAGCTTAGAATGGGAGGAGGGGAAATTCACATACATACCTACACATGAGAGAGAGGGAGAGCAAGCAGGGGAGTGCGTGCCACTGGAAATAGCCTGGACAGCAAAGTGATCTTACTGTGTCGCCTGCCTCACTTGGCAACTCATGCTGCCTCCAGGTGTCAGCCTGCCCTGGCACTCTTCAATGCGATCTGTGAACAGGCAGCAGGTGCAAAAAGCTAAGGTAATAATGATAAAACACAGGGATGAAGCTGAGTTTGGGAGCAAACCAGCAGCGGGTGATGTTTGTTAAGGACCAGAAGGAACTAATCTAAGAAAATAGTCATTTCTTATATCAAAAGGTAGTTCTGGTGTCTTCTGAAGAAGGCTTCCCTGTGAAATGCTAGAATTACCATTAATTTTTAATTGGCTATCACAAAGAAAGATTTTGGAAGCTGAACTAAACATGCTCCCACTCAGGTACGAGAGATGCTTTGAAATACACTTCTTTATACTTAAAAATGGAAAAAGTAACGGAGAGATGGAGAGAGAGAGAAACAAGAGGGGGAAAGAACTCTAGACACTGCCCGTTACGTTTCGAGGACCAGCAACGTGGCTAACTGGCCAGTTTGTTCCCCAGTACTGTTTCTGGTTTATCACTCATCTTTGTACTTAAGTTTAACATTCCTTTTCTCCTTTTGAGGCCTGGCCAGAAAACCAGTTCACCAACAAACTTTTCCAAACTTATTAGCAATGGTTATAAGGATGAGTGGTTACAACAGCATCGAGCTGATTCAGACAAGAGGACCCCAAAGACACCCAGGGCGTCTACATCGTCATCTCAGTCCACACAAGACCTGGAAGGGCCCCAGGATGCAGAGGAGACACCCCAAGACACAGAGACCCCCAAAGGCTCTGAAAATGCTGAAGGTGAGGGGTACCAGCAATCCTTGTTTCCCCTGAGATTTGGGGTGACTGTGATGTGAGCAAATCACATTTTTGTCTCCCGATGTATCTCCTAACGAAACACAGTCCTGCTGACTGTGTTAACTAACACACACGCAGCAGCACTCGGGTTATAAACAATCGTGCTAATAGCATGCTGCTTTTTCCTCTTTATTCAGATGAGTTCTGGGGCTTTACACATTTTTTTATTTTTCAAAAAATTTGACAGTCCATTTGATACACCACATAAAAGATATTCTAAGTAGTATTAATTACAGTCTCCTGGCTCCAAAAGGTTCTGATCCTGCAATGCTCAGATTTCTGCATACACAGGATACATGGCTGGTCCTCTTCGATGTCCTTTCACAAAAAGCTTTCCATGCTTTAAAAAGAAGTCAAAATTCAAATGTGAAATTACTCCATTAGCAGCATTTCTTAAGCTTTGAATAATTCAGAACTTTCTCTGTGATTAGATGATCAAGATATTATGTCAGTTTTTTTAACTGTCACAGAAAGAATTTGTCCTATTCTTTAGACATGTCCATCTTAAAGCCTATTGAGTATTGAGTTTAGTTCTGTAGCTCTATTAATTATTGACCATTTGGGCAGCTTCTAATTACTATTGAGGCTTTATTTCTTTGCTAAGGAGAATAGGGTCTGCTCTGTCTCTTCAGGCTTTTGAAGCATTTGATGAAACTTTTTGTGAGGTCACCACTTGCACTTTGCCCCCAGCTCCTGGCTGTGTTTGTTGAGTGAACTCTGCCACTTCCAGGCCAGCTCATTCCTTTGTCTTGATGGATGAGCTGGTGACAAGTTCACAGCCAGTTTTGTTAAAAAGTGCCAGTTGAACTTTACAGTGTCATCGGTCTTTTATGACTTTTGTTATTTTGAGTAATGTAGATGTTTTACTAAATCTTGAAGTAATTCAAGATTTTAATGCTTCCTTAAATCAAAGAAATCAATGCACTTTATCACAGAGTCTTCTCCAAGTGAGTGTTTATAGAGAAACTGTCCTGCATAGAAATACAAAAAGTGTCTTAAGACTTAGCGATGTCAGTCCTGTGATCTGCGACTGTGGCCTCTGGGCAGCCTGCAGTATCCTTCAAATTGCTTGTATTCTGACACAGAAGCCTGTGCCATAGACTTTTTTCATTTAGTTATTTGTTTTTTATTTTATTTATTTTTTATATTTATTTTATAAATGTTTTTTGAGACAGAGTCTCACTCTGTCACCCTGGGTAGAGTGCTGTGGCATCAACCAAGCTCACAGCAACCTCAAACTCTTGGGCTCAAGCAAGAGATCCTCTTACCTCAGCCTCCCTAGCAGATGAGACTACAGGCACCTGCCACAACCCAGCTAGTTTTTTTTTCTATTTTTAGTAGCGACAGGATCTCACTCTTGCTCAGGCTAGTGTTGAACTCCTGAGCTCAAGTGATCCACCTGCTTTGGCCTGCCAGAGCGCTAGGATTATAGCAGAGCCACCACGCCTGGTTTAAGATTACTTTATTTATTGTAATTTTTTCCAGCTATCCTAGATGTGTTGGCATGCCAGGAGGTGGCTTTTAGGTAACTGGTACAGTATTGTACTTTGAAAGGGGCCAATATCAATGAAACTCGTGAAACTTAGGGTGGTCTGAGTCGCCTCCCTGCTGTCTACCTGCCTCTGGAAGGCTGTACTCACACTGTTTGATCCCGTACAGCACATTTATGTCAACACAATTCTAGCATCATGCACAAGCAGCACTTGTGAAAAGTTTAATGTCTGTTATGGGCCCCTTCTTCTTGTCTGTCAGTGCAAAAGTTGGAGTCTTATGTTTCCAGTGTACGATTTGTGCTGGGAGGTAGAATCATACACTCACTTCTTATGTAGACTTCAGGAATAATCCTTATGAACAGGCATAAAAATGTGAGTTTATTTTATTTAAGACTGATCATTCATAGGAAGTGTTGTCATTTATTTACTTTGCGTTTCAGGCCCCGAAGGATCTCCATCCCCATCAATACCAGCAGAGCTCAAGTAAACCTGGATGTAGGATGTATTTAGGATAACTTTTTTAGTGGCTAAATATGCTATTACTATGCTAACAGCTATATTTCTAAGGCTCCTGTTATATTTTATTGATACATATCCTTATATTCTTATATTTATCTTGTAGTGGATTTGACATTGCATGATAGTGCAAATGTTGGGTTTTGTTTCTTACCTTTCTCTGGGATGTTAAACACACACTCGGTAAACATACCAAGGCCTCTGCTATCTTTTTTGCCTCGCTGGCCTGGTACATCCCAGTGTTTTGGGACTAATCACTTCCACTTTGTCCTCAGCTAATATCACCTCCTCCTGTGTTTCTACTAGATTCTTACATAGGAGAAACTCACAGAACAAGCTTTAAGCCTTTTGCATTATTTGGTCCTGTAATTTTTGAAGAAATAACTTCCTAGTTACAAAAAAAGTTAATTCCAAAATATGGCAACATAGTTTAAATGTTAAAACATTTTAATTTATCATGCCTTAAAGTTGTAAACATTTCATGTAAAACATTGTAACACTGCTAGTTTTAAATTTTTGTTAATAACTTTTTACATAAACTGAAGTTCAAAATATTAAGTATTTAAGCTTTTGTATCCTTTAAGCAAAAATATGTTGAATTGTAGTATTGAATTTAGTAGGCTAAACAAAAACTTTTAATAGATTGAATTCTCTTGTTTTATAATTTTTTATTGTTTATATATAAGTAATTAGCATTAAAATATAGTTTTATTTCATACATTTAATTGATTGATAAAATAATAATTTTATGTAGGAAGGTTTTCAGAAACCCAAATAAAGTCACAGATCCTTTACCTTCTTTTCTAGAATGAGCTTATCATGCACCTGCTTACCTAGAATTTAAGTTTCAAATTAGTTTTCTAAATGAGATATTCAGTTGAGCATATATACATATGTTATTTGATCAAACCAATATATGAGAGAATGGATGCAATGTGTAAAAATGCGAATGGCTGTATGTATTGAATAAAAAGAATATTCCATCACAGTAAGCAGTTTATTTTTTTTTCTCTTTTTTTTTCTTTTCGGTCCTCTCCCTTTCTCAGACTGAATTTTTATTCCATTCCCAAACACGCCCACCTTAATGGTGAAAACATCATAAAGAACATATACCATTAGTGTATAGCTCTTTAATTTTCTTTCTTTCTCCCTTCCCTCCCTCCTTCCTTCCCTCCCTCCCTCCTTCCCTTCCTTTTCTTTCTTTTTTTTTTGACAGAGTCTCTCTCACTCTGTTGCCCCAGGCTAGATTGCTATGGCCTCAACCTCACTCTCCAGGGTTCAAGCCATCCTCCTGCCTCAGTTTCCTGAGCAGCTGGGACTACAGGCACCCCCATGATATCTGGCTACTTTTTCTATTTTTTTTTTTTTTTTTTTTTTTGAGACAGAGTCTTACTTTGTTGCCCTGGGTAAAGTCCTGTGGCGTCATAGCTCACAGCAACCTCAAAAACTCTTGAGCTCAAGTGATTCTCTTGCCTCAGCCTCCCAAGAAGCTGGGACTATAGGTGCCCACCACAATGCCCGGCTACTTTTAGAGACAAGGTCTCGTTTTGGCTCAGGCTGGTCTGGAACCTGTGAGCTCAGGTAATACACTTGCCTTGGCCTCCCAAGTGCTGGGATTACAGGCGTGAGACACGGTGCCTGGCCTTACTGTTTCTACTTTTAGTAGAGATGGGGTCTCCTCTTGCTCAGGCTGCTCTCCAACTCCCAAGCTCACAGGATCCTTCTACTTTGGCCCCCCAGACTGGTGGCCAGACTGGTAGGACTACAGATAGTTTCTTTTTAGATTATTCCAGTAACAGAAACCTGTGGTTTAGGGGAAGAGGGGACAAAATTTGGAGTAAGGACTGTTCAAGTCTTGGCTCCATTCAAGTATACTACTTGGCATAGTAGCTAGCATGGAAAAAATCTGGGTTCCACCAATGTCAACCTAAATACCAAACAGAGGGAGACTGTCTGAAAGAAAATGATATTTATTCGGGAAAAAATAGGCAGGTGTCGCAATGGAAACACATGTGCCGTAGTAAACTATGTGGATAAGCTGGAAGGTTGAGGAAGACAAACACCACAACTAACATCGTTATTATGGAGGAGAATATAGAAGAAAATATTTGCAAAAGAAATACCTGAGAGGCTGGGTGCAATGGCTCACGCCCGTAATCCTGACACTTTGGGAGGCTGAGACAGGAAAATTGCTTGAACCCAGGAGTTTGAGACCAGCCTGAGCAACCGAGGGGGTACGAGACCAGCTAGTGCAACATAGTGAGACTTCACCTCTACAAAAAAAAAAAAATGTATCTGATAAAAGACTGTTCTCTAATATATACAGGGAACTCTTAAAATTCAATGGAACAAAACAACTCAATATAAAAATGAGACAAAGACTTTGATAGACTCCTCATCAAAGATTTTCCACATCATGAGTCATCAGGGAAATGCAAACTAAAGCAATCAGCATCCACTGTCCAACTATCAGAACACTGGGAGGACGTGGAGCCAGAGGACTTCTCAGTCATTGGTGGGAATGCAAAAATGGCCAACTGCTTTGAAAAATGACGTGGTGACTTCTTACAAAACAAAACACAATCTTTTCACATGAGTCAACAATTATATTCCTTTGTGTTTAAACAAAGAAGTCGAAAATTAACTTTCACACAAAACCTGCACTCAGATATTTACAGCAGATTTATTCATAATAGCCAAAACTTGGAAGCCACCAACATGTACCTTAGTAGGTGACTGGGTATAAACTACGGCACATCCAGGCACTTCTCCGTGTTCAGTTGATGAAATAAGCGCGTTGTAAAAGCTCCCAAGTTCTTTATAAGGTCAGCCTCCATGTGAAAGTTGATAGCCAGACCAACGTCCAAGTCCTCTGTCATCAGCCACAAGGAAATGAATTCTGCAGCAATCTGACGGAGGCTGAGAACAGACACTTTCCCAGTGAAGCCTCCGGAAGAAAATGTAGCTCAACCAACACGCTGGTTGCAGCCCCTGAAGCCTGCGCTGGAGACGTCTGACCTGGGAAGACTGAAGTATGAAGGCAGAAAGGAATCTGCAGGATCATGCTGTAAATTCTATTTTAGTTTATAGTTTTTTTTGAGGAAGTGCTGTGTTTTCCTTAGTGGCCACACCATTCAGCATTCCTACCAACCAAGTATAAGTCTTCTAATTTCTGCACATCCTTGCCAATACTTAAATACTTGTTACTTTCTGCTTTCTATGTGTTGATAGTAGATACCTACTGGGTGTGAAGTGGCATCTCCCTCACGGTGGTTTTGATTTGCATTTCCCTGATGATCAGTTCAGTGTATGGTGAAACCTATTCTGTATGATGCTATATGGATAATACGTCATAAATTCATCCAAACCCACAGCACATACAAGAGTAACCCTAGCATAAACCATAGACTTTGAATGATAATGATGTCAGTGTGGGTTCATCAATTTCTTTTTTTTTTTTTTTTGAGATAGAGTTTTATTATGTTGCCCGGGGTAGAGTGCTGTGACGTCACAGCCCACAGCAACTTCAAACTCTTGCGCTTAAGTCATTCTCTTGCCTCAGCTTCCTAAGTAGCTGGGATTACAGGTGCCTGACACGGTGCCAGGCTATTTTTGTTGTTGTTGTTGCAGTTGTTTAGTTAACCCAGGCCAGGTTCAAACCTGCCATCCTTGGTGTATGTGGCTAGCACTGTAACCACTGTGCTACAGGCGCCAAGCCGGGTTCATCAATTTTTAACAAATGTACCACTCAGGTACCAGATATTGATAGTAGGGAAGGGGATATATGGGAAATTTCTGTACTTTCTGCTAAATTTTGTTGCTCTAAATAGTCTATTAAAAATGACCAAAAAACCCCAGATAATGAATATACTGCCCTATCTGTCATACAAAGAGAAATAAAATTCATAGTTAAAATAAAAAGTTAGGTATAGTGTATGCACGAACCCAGTAGTTTGAGTCTAGCCTGAGAAACATAGCAAGATCCCATTTCTAAAAGAAAAATGATATGTACAAATAAATATTTTAAAAAAGCAAAAAGAGTTGGGTATTCTGCTTGAAATATAACATTAATTGATGGCATATAATACTGATTGTATCACATTCCTTAGTGTTAAAGATAAAAGAAAACAGATCACCTTAAATCTAAAGGTTAAATAAGCATCAGTAATATGAAAGGATTAAAATAAGAAGGGAAGGAATATTTCCAAACCTTTTGGTCCATTGAAAGCAAGGCTCAGCGGCCCTGACTCTGTCGATGCTCTTAGCCTAGATTTTATGCGGGAGTTCTTTAGATATGATAAGAGTTGTGTGTACAGTTTTAACAAACATAGTGATGTGCCTACAAATCCCATAGATGCTGATTCAGTAGCAAGCATTGCAACTGGTAGGACATAAACAGTATGGAGTATCCTTTGAGACACACTGTCTATGACCTGAGTCTATGCTAATTATGAATTCAAAGATTTTGTTTTGAACTTGCAGTGTGTTTCTGTTGGATTACTAAAAGATTTGCTTAAAACACCACATTTCTCAGCTATGACACCATGGCACTCTATGGGAGGGCAAGAAAAAAAAATTACCACATTTCTACATAAGAATACCTTAATTTCTTTGACAGTATCCATTAAGGCTGGGCAGAGTGGCTCACACCTGTAATCCTAGCACTCTGGGAGGTCAAGGCGGGTGTATGGCTTGAGCTCATGAGTTCGAGACCAGAGTGAGCCAGAGCCAGAGCAAGACCTTGTCTCTTAAAAAAATAGCTGGGCTTTGTGATGGGCACTTGTAGTCCCAGCTACTTGGGAGGCTGAGGCAAGAGAATCACTTAAGACCAAGAGTTGGAGGTTGCTGTGAGTTGTGACCCCATGGCACTCTACTGAGGGCGACAAAGTGAGATTCTATCAAAAAACAAAAACAAACAAACAAAAAAACACAAAAGAAAGTATCCATTAATAAGAGAGCTGTTCCTTGCTTCACGAACTACAGTTGTACAAAGTGCATCTTGGGAAACTTCTAGTAGTTGAGATAATAGCCACTAAACCTAACTCTCTCCCCACACATCATTTAAAAATTGAGCAGATGTACAAATCATTGTACATCTATAGCATAAACACAACCACCAGTGACCCATTTCTTCAGCACAATTAAAAAGAGAGAATATTATAAACTTC